CATTATCCCATGCCACGTATGCGGACCGCTTGAGGTGTGCAGCATCCCTGCTGGCATTGTTATACCAGGGTCTGCTGCGACCCCCAACGGGCACTTCAGAGGAGGGAATAAACAATTCCATCCCCTGGAGCACCACGTCTTTAAGACGGTCCGCACAGACGTCAGGATCAGCAGAGGAAAAGCAGAACCGCCCCCATGGGTAGGATGCGTAAAACTCACGCAATCCATCCCAATCTGCTGACAAATACTGCCAAACTCTTCGATACCTGGTCGTCGTTCGACGACTAGGACGAGCTAGGACTAGGTTTGAGCCCCGTGAATTCACTTACTCGCCCGGTGACGCTAATATAGGGGAAAAAAGCTGCTTTTTCAATGTAGCGTTCTGACGCTTCCTTAAGATACATATCGGTACTAAATGTAGGTCGTCGTGTAGATCTACATTCCTCACATACCACAGTTCTCCGACGGCTATCCCGCAGAATCGTATTGGATGACCTGGAAAGAGTGAATGCGTGGGCGGGCCGCGTGAGTGAACACTACCCTTGCATAGGTCATGACGGAATGTATGCAAGTTTCATAGTTGAGTTGTCACCTTGTTATGAAGGGACAATTTACTTGACTCGTAGATCATGGGGTAGAGTCGACTGAGTAGAAATACGGCTCGATCGCGTACTGACTTGATGTGGGACCCGAATGTCATCCCTCTGTCGAGGGTGACGCCTAGGTCCTAACTCTGTGAAGAACTTCCTTCGACTGCCTAACTCTGTGACACGCGAATCCATGAACAGATTATTTTAAATTGGCATTTCTAGATTACGTGTAGTTCTATGTTTAGTAGTGAGGTAATTTTTTTTCTATATGAAACTGTTTTGTGTGCACAATAAGTTATCGTTAAAATTGCTTTGTCACTATTATTACAAGGTTAGCTTGAGATGGAAAATACTTGAGCGAAACTATTTGACGGTTTGATTTTGGATTTCTTGGGAAATAATTGACTAGAGCGGGGGTAACCATTTATTTTCGTTAGAAGTCCGTTTTAAGAAACGAAATGATCTGTGGTTTGTTATTTATTAGTACCACATTGCCACAAGGCAATCACACTATTTTTGAAAGACAGTAAAAGCTTCTTATTCACGCTTCCATTATTCACGTTTTCACTATTCGCGGAATTTGCGGAATTGCGGTCGAAATATTCGCGGCTAAAAATTTCTTTATTCGCCATTCTAATAATTAAAATTCGCCGCGATCGGTATTTTTGAGAATCGGTATTTTACTTGTGGTAGGACCTCTTGTGAGTCCGCACGGGTAGGTACCACCACTCCTGCCTATTTCTACCGTGAAGCAGTAATGCGCTTCGGTTCGAAGGGTGGGCCAGTCGTTGTAACTATACTGAGACCTTAGAACTTATATCTCAAGGTGAGTGGCGCATCTACGTTGTAGATGTCTGTGGGCTCCCGTAACCGCTTAACACCAGGTGGGTTGTAAGCTCGTCCACCCAACTAAGCCATAAGAAAATAAAAAAAACTCAATTGAAGGAGCTTTTAAAAACTGCCAAACAAGAGAAAATTACAAAATTCTTCAAACCACTGCCGGCGGCTATTCAGCAATAGATAGCGTTAATCTTACCGGCGTATCTTGAACAGTTTTTTTCAACATCTAACTTTAGGGTTTTCTTTAACAGAAAATGAACCCGCGCCTCGCTTTCGCCATTATATCGTCGACCTGCTGGTCTGCCTTCCAGCACGGATACAATACAGGCGTGATAAACGCTCCGCAGGCGGTGAGTCACTACCTTTGAGAGAGAAACAAGAGAGAGAGTGCGAGAGGGAGATAGAGAAGGGGATAGAGTGAGAGAGAGAGAGGGAGAATGTTTTATTGTACACAAAATAAATGAAAACACAAACTATTAAATACAAAATAAAATGCTGCATGCACAAAGGTGCATCTAAAAGAAGTAAAACTTTTTTTGGGGTGTGTAGTTAGTATTGTAGTTTTCTTTATTTTTCATCCTTAAATTAAATTTATTTTGTAATGAGGAATGCTGTGTATAATAGAAACGACCTCTTCACCATTTATATATGTAATACATATTTTGAATTATTTGGAAAAAATATTTTTTATTATTTTTTATTACTTCATAAGAAATTAAATTTAACCGTTAATATGTTACTGCCATCTGCAGGAGCAATGAGAAACGAATGACAAGCTATTTAGTGGCCAACACAGGTAAACAGAATGTGTATAAGATAAGCGACTTATCTCGCCATCTCCCTCTCTCCACGGTCAAGTGGTTCGCGAGACGCTCTGTCTATTTTCTCACTCTCGCTCTTCCTAAATCATATCTTTTCTCTCTAGCCGTAACGAATCTGTCGCGAGTTAAATTATACTCACTACACGCTCAAAGAAGTTACACTTCAAAAATTGAATAGGCAGTCTTATCGCTAATAGCGATCTAACGATCCATAGTAGCTGTTGGAGATCATTTATAGAGTACTACATTGAAGGAAACCAATTGCATGGGTTAATTGTACCTTGGACGTGAAGATGCCTCTATTTTCGAAGGTCATGAGCGAATGGCTCCAGAGAGAGGCGCTTAGCGGGACGAACACCTCGGTCTCCGCCATGGTCGATCCAAAGGTGACTTCGGTCTGGTCGGTGGCTGTCTCCATATACTGCGCCGGTGGCATGATTGGTGGTGTGATCACCGGAATCATTGCCGACAGGTAAACTTTGGCGTCGATATTGAAATTTATGTTCTGTCTCGCCCTCTCACGGCACTGATGACAGTGACGTCACGAACTGTTAGGTGCTTCAATCATTGTTATTTTTAGCTCGCTTATTACGAAATGTGCATCGCGCGCGGTATTGAGAAAATGTTAACAGCAATGCTTTGATGAATCTTTTTTATTTATTGACCTTTTAGGCAGCCAAGCATACGGCCCACCTGATGGTGAGTGGTTACCGTCACCCATCGATGTTAGCGATGCCGAGTCGTTTCTATATGTTTCCGCTATTTGATGACAGATGGCGTTATTCTAACCGGCGTAACAATAACAATAGGAAAAATCACATTGAATTAGTTAATTACTACATAATAACAAAATAATGAGTCAGTCACAAGTCCTGATTCTGCTGAGCGAAATTAATTTGCAAGTTCTCTGACCTCCGCGGATAGATGGCACTGTAATTAAAATTTCAGATTCGGCAGAAAAGGCGGTCTGCTGCTCAACAACGTGCTGGTATTCCTGGCGGCCGCTCTGCAGGGAGCTTCGAAGGTCGCCAAATCGGCGGAGATGCTCATCCTTGGAAGGTAATCTTTAATATTTTCTTTCGATGACTCATTTATGTAACTATTGATGATGAATGTGACTAGGAGATGTATGGAAATGGTAGTAGTGCAAGGTAGAGCGGGAAGAAGTCGACCGAAGAAGACATGGATGGAGTGTGTGAATGACGACATGAGAGAGAGGAGTGTACCAGTAATTTTCGTGTGGCGTTTAACGGCCGTCTGGTGTAGTGTTTTTTTTTTTTTTTATTGCCTTTGTAGGCAGACGAGCATACGGCCCACCTGATGGTGAGTGGTTACCGTCGCCCATGAACTTCAGCAATGCCAAGGGCAGAGCCAAGCCGCTGCCCACCGAAAATGTGATAATAATAAGTGAATAAGTGACATGGTCACTACATAAGGGGGTCGCGGGTTCGAATCCCGCCAAGAGAAGATATTTGTATGATAAATGTAAATGTCTTTTCTAGGGTTATGGATGTATATTAAATATATGTATGTGTATAATAAAAATCTTACATTTATTTCCGTTATCTGGTACCTGTAACACAAGTTCTTTACGAACTTATCACGGGACCAGTTAACGTGGCGTGATTGTTAGTAAATATTTATTTATTTATTTATAATGTGTCAATATCAGACACCGATTGAGATTACGATGTTACTAGTGATTTAGTTTTAATGTTAAAACCCACTTTGATTTCGCCCTACAGTCCCACATCTATACTAATATATACATCTACCGTGGTTTTTACGGATGTTCCGTTATAACTACTGAACCGTGCATCCGATTGACTTGAAACTTGGTATTCGTGTAGAAAATACATGTACTTAATGGATAGGCTAATATTTATATGAGGGTTGGACTCCCTAATAATAATGACAATAAACGGCTAGTTAATGTATGTGTCTGTGGGCTTCGCATTGCAGATTACTCATTGGCGTTAACAGTGGCCTGAACGCGGGCTTAGTGCCTCTGTACCTGTCAGAGATATCGCCAGTGTCAATCAGAGGCTCGGTGAGCTTAACTTCTTTTTTTCTTAATTACTGGTGGTAAATCCTCTTGTGAGTCCGCACGGGTGGGTACCACCACCCCGCCTGTTTCTGCCGTGAAGCAGTAATGCGTTTCGGTTTGAAGGGTGGGGCAACCGTTGTAACTATACTGAGACCTTAGAACTTATACCTCGAGATGGGTGGCGCATGTACGTTGTAGATGTCTATGGGCTCCAGTAACCACTTAACACCAGTTGAGCTGTAATCGTTCACTTATCAAAGCAATAAAAAAAAGAAAAAAATCCTCCTCCTAATTGCTTTTGCTCATTACTGTACTGTGAGGGTTCGTTCTGTGTGCTTAGTGCGAGTTTTTTAATGTTCTCGATAGCGTAAAAGTTAACTCAGATTTGTATGGATTTGGAAAGTTCGCCTACGTTTGCCGCTAGGGGCGCTGTTCCAACTGCATACAAATTTAAGATAACTTTAACGCGATCGAGAACTTTAAAAAAAACACGTGTGGAACTCGGGGTCTTCCGCGGTAAAGCTACGGCATAGCATTTTTTTATTAATTTATGCAATTATAATTAGACAATAATAATTTAATATTAAAACAATAATAAAATAAGACCACCCTATATTTATAAACATTAAAAAAGCAAAACATTAACTGTCCCCTTTACACTCATAAGCGAGACCGCGCGAGAGAGAGATGGACAGACTTTTCATGATGCGCATGCAGGGTGACGTCACGCCGCGCGTTTACTCACAAACACTACACGTTACTTTTACGTCATCGAGAAAGTTAAAAAACTCACACTAAGCACACTGCACAATTTCCCGACACTTTCGGCCAAAAATTGAGCGAATGTCATTTTCAGATCGGCACAGTTTACCAGCTCGTCATAACAGTCACGATACTGCTGTCCCAGCTGCTAGGGCTGAGCAGTGTGCTCGGCACGGAGGACGGCTGGCCATGGTTATTGGCACTGACAGCGGCGCCGGCCGTCCTGCAGTGTCTCACGCTGCCCCTATGCCCAGAATCGCCAAAGTACTTACTCCTGAACCAGGGTCGAGAGCTGCACGCCCAACGAGGTCAGTTAATTATTTTAACTAGTGATCCCCCGGTATGCGAAATTCGACTATAATTCATTGAAATTATAAGGTTGAAAATTATCATGGTTCTATTGTCTAAGACTCCCTATAATCACAGATTTCGCCAAGACTACACTTAAGACAAATATTATTATAGACAAACAATATTTACTCTATTCTCAATTATTTGACCACCAATTTTAAGCAATAAACAAAAGAGTATATGTTTGAGTGTGTCAAATATATGTTAGTGTGTGCAATGTTTTTTTATTGAATAAGTGTATTTTTTATGCATAAATAAAAAAAAATTGAAAAAGAAATTGAAAAGGTTGAAATTCAACTAAAAAATGAAAAAGAAATAATAGTTTAAAAAAACTAAAAAACACGCTTTATATAAAATTCAACTAAAAAATTGAAAATAAATTTTAATATATTTAAATTGAAAATAGTGTAAAAAATATATATTTTATTGTAAAAAAAAGCGTGGGGTGCTTTTTAAGATATTATTGAAATAATAATTCCTCTACTCATATCTGTCAGAAAAATATTTATAACTTATAACACCATGCACCCCACGCTTTTTTTACTGGCCCTAACAAGAGTCTTGTCTTGTCCGGGTAGGAAAAAAAAGGCACACCTTAAAGCTTATAGTATACGTTTGATTTCAGATAGACGAAAACACACTACTTGTCCATTTTAAATTTATTATTAATTTTTGAAAGTTTAATTTTATAAACTGATAGAATATATACTTACAAGTCGTTCCAAGTATAAAACTGATTTTCTTAAAAAAAAAATTAGTAAAGCCATCTCACTCTAAAGGCGATTTATATTGAGCGTCTGTTATTAATTATAGCATTGAACTGGCTGCGAGGCGACGTCGCGGTGCACGGCGAGATGGAAGAAATGCATCAGGTGAGGACAATACGCGTGACGTCATTTGGAGTTAAAATTTACGAGCCATTTGACGTCATGCCCCCCGAACGATCTTAAAAGATTCAGCTAATACATGTTATAATAATGATTTAAATGACGGTATTTTGAAATTAGTTTTTCTCGTCTATTCTTGCTAATTGTTGTGTTATCATCGATTTCAATGTTCAATGTTTTTCCTGTTTTTTTTGCGAATTCAGCTAGAGACTTCTGATGGTAAGTGGTTACCGTCACTCATGGACATGAGCAATGCCAAGGGCAGAGCCATGCCGCTACCTACCGCGTAATCCTTTTTTTTTACTGCGCAATACATTGTTTTTAAAATCCTTCCACTTGCTACTGTGGCGCCAACTTAATTGGCTCCCCTTCGGTGGACACTTTTTAATACACTGAGATGGTACTTTTTACTTCTACCCTCAATAGTTGTCATTCGAATCCAGCAGACTATTTCTGCCAATTTCTCTATCTTTCTCGATCGAGTTGCTCCACCCGTAATCCCATCTGTAGTCGGGTGGCGTTCGTGTGACGACCTACCAGATTCATTATTAAACTACCCTCAAATCTACCCCGATTCAAGGAAGCGGAGAAGAATAAGATCAGCAAGAAGGTCACCCTGCAAGAGTTGTTCCGAAACAGGAACCTCCGTCTGCCCCTCTTCATATCCACAGTCGTGATGATAGCTCAACAGCTCTCCGGAATAAATGCTATAATATACTTTTCGACTGACATCTTTGAGAAGACTCATCTCGGATCTGATGCTGCGCAGTACGCTACTTTGGGTAAGGTATTGTAAGGTAACTAGTGAAACCGACCACACTTAGCTACCATCTCATACCATCAGCAGGCATCTTTGTGCTTAGTGCGAGTTTTTTAACGTTCTCGATAGCGTGAAAGTTAACTCGAATTTGTATGCAGTTGGAACAGCGCCCCTAGTGGCAAACGTAGGTAAACTTTCCAACTCTATACAAAGGGGACGGCCCATTTCAGGCCCAAAGCGGACAATAGATTAGAGAAAAAATACTTAGTGCATTAATTTTGTCATAAATAAATATGCATTTACTTTCTTCCAAATAAGCGCCACTACAGTTTACAATAAGTAGTTTAAAAAAAGTAACTCTATTGAAAAAAACAAGAATTTTATTTTTGCGGGAAAAATATTGCCAACTTCAAAACCTTTTACGTATTAAGTAAACATTTTAAGTATATAAAAAAACATATAAATAAATCATTTTAAATATTATCATTAATCAATCGATTTTAATCGATTTTAAGCACATAAAATAACATCAAAGACATACCCATTGGACTTTAACTTGTTACTATACTTGAGACCTTAGAACTTATATCTCAAGGTGGGTGGCGCATTTACGTTGTGGATGTTTGTGGGCTCCAGTAACCACTTAACACCAGGGTGGCTGTGAGATCGTCCACCCATCTAAGCAATAAAAAAAAACTTAACTTGTATTGTTATTTAAATATGTACAACTAAAACAAAAACATAAAAAATAAAATATAATGTGTACTCGTAAAAAAAAGATTAAGAAATAAATCCAATATCGGTTATTTAAAAAAATGATCGATATATGAATTTCATGTAATTATTTTTCTTTATACTGACAACACTGATTTTAATCTGACTGACTGACACTTCGCTTGCTGCTTGTGCTTGCGTTCAAAATGGATGTGTTTTGATTTTTCTTCGATTTATTTTGCTTTTATCAATAACGTTTCATACTACGGCTGAAAACCATTGTGTGAATTGTGGTTTTAACCTGACCGAGATTTAAAACCGTGTATATGCTCTCCTGTGCTATTTTTAGATGATTTACTAATTGTGTATGAAGATGAAGAAAAAATAGAATAATATAGATATTTAAAGAAGTATGTGTGTTTTTTATACTACAATTGGATAAAAATACATTAGGAACATCTTAAACATTAAAAAAAGAAAAGTTCTTGAGGTATTTATATAGAAAATTAACCTCAAAACGAGTTTTTTATTTTTATTATATTTTTTATAACAATGGCGTCAATTTCAATAAATTTTTTAGATATCTAATACATTTAAGAACTTGAATCAGTCCATTTTTATAGTAATATTTGATGTCCACCTTGGGCCTAGCACACTATGGAGAGTGGGCATTCCCCTTTAAGTTAACTTTTACCTACCATCGAATTGGAACCCCGACCTGCTGAGAAGATCCGGCGAGAAACTCAGTGGGCTGCGTCTGGGGGTACGGATGGTAAAATGTGATGTGTACAATATGTTATGATCACGTATAATTACCGTGGCCCATGGACATCACTACATGAGCGCCGCTACCGACCTTGAAACACGAGGTCCGAGTCTGGATCATGTTTTAGTAGGACTATGCTATCCTTCACATTGGAAATCATGACTGCTTCGCGCTTATATGCAGAACCACATTCCTTCATCGTGGAAGTCATCCGTGAACTGGAGTTGAGGGTATCATTTGAGCTATGTGCACCTCCAGATCCAATGCAGATCTTCGGTTTCAGGCATAGGCGCCATGAATGTCGTGATGACGATAGCCAGCCTCGTGCTCGTCGAGGTGGCTGGCAGAAAGACCCTCCTGCTGGCAGGGTTCTCGGGAATGTTCATATGTACCGTCGGCATAACAGTCGCTACTTCATACGTAAGTTTGTGTTGAGCTCGTGGCTGTAGTAAGTCAGTGATCCTTCAATCAGTAAAACGTCACGTCATCGCCACTTAATCATCTCCTCAATCTTTCACATGACAATCAGACCAGCAGACTCTTTAACAGCGTGTGGTGTATCTAAGCCGTTATAATTGAAAAAAGGTATATTGAAACGAAAATTAAACTTATTTAGATCCTATTTATTGTACATACGAACTTTGGCTTCGAATGAGTTGAAAGCTTTAGGGCTTTGTTCTTTCTTTTTTTGACGTGATTATGTCTTATAAATCGATGAACGCCGGCTGCACGCACGAAAAAGTGTCACGTTCCGCCTGAGCCTGAGCGTGCGAGCGAGAGGCACGATCAGCCCAAGCGTTGGCTTGTGACACATTTATCTCTGTTCCCCCGTGACGTCACAGCTAGCAGTTCGAATAGTTCCGCTGCTGACGTCATCACGTCAAACTATCGTCCGTAAACCGACTTTACAAATTCAAATTCAAATTCAAAATCATTTATTTCAACTTGGATGTCATCAAAAACACACTTGTTGAATGTCAAAATGTAAAAGAAAATGTTAACTCTACCACCGGTTCCAAAAAAAGCCACAGTCCTGAGAAGAACCGGCGAAACAAACTCAGCGGGCTTTTTTTTTTTTGTTTTTTTTTTTTTTTTTTTTTTTTTTTTTTTTTTTTTTTTTTACAGACAACGATTTATTATTATTTTCAGACTCAGCACGTCTGGGTGTCGTATCTGTGTATAGCGCTCGTGGTTCTCTTCGTGACAATGTTCGCGATCGGTCCGGGTTCGATACCCTGGTTCTTGGTGACAGGTAATTATAATAAAAAATCTAACTATTATACATAAGAGAGAGTGAGAGAGTGTGAGAGAGGGAGAGGGAGAGAGAGAGTATGCTTTGTTTTACAAAAAATATATACAAAAAAGTACAATTGGCGGTCTTATCGCTATGAGCGATCTCTTTATTTTTGAAAGTTTTATTCGGTATCAGCATCAACAGTTCGATTTTTTGATTGAACTTCAATTAAGTTTACTCCATTCGAATCGCTGAAGAAGTTTTTTTGTCATGATATTTTCTCCAAATTTTAAGCCTTAAATGGCACTTGTGGTTGGGTTTTGAACTTTCTAAAAATATATATATATGGTACATGGTGGCGCCATCTGTCGAACTGGGGCGCACACTGGCAGAAATTCAACGCAACGCAAATTTCACGTTAAGACACTTATAGTTGTTATTTCTTGAAAACCTACTATAATTCCGAAATACACGTGACTCGTTGTGCTATTGGCACTCACAGACACAGCCCACTGAGTTTCTCACCGGATCTTCTCAGTGGGTCGCGTTTCCGATCCGGTGGTAGATTCTGCAAAGCACTGCTCTTGCTAGGGCCGGTGTTAGCAAAGTCGTCAGATTAAAGCACATTGAGCTCACCTACTTGCTCGATGAATCTAGTTTGACCCCTAGAGGAGAAAAGCAAGATAACATCTCGGCATTATTATGACGATAGCAGATTTCAAAGTCCAGTCGAATACACGAATATTTCTCAGTGTGCTTAGTGCGAGTACTTTAACGTTCTCGATAGCGTAAAAGTTAACTCAAATTTGTAAGTATGGAGTTGGAACGTTTGCCTGCGTTTGCCGTTAAGGGCGCGCTCAAATTAACAAGCAATTGAAGACATGAGTGGGTGAAGGGGCTAAGTACCATTTTTAAGATTTTTGAGTTTTTACATTGAATGAAGGTGTTTTGTGCCTATAAACCATATTAGACCTTAAACCACCGGGCTTAAAGGCTATTTTTAGAAATTGTATGTGACGAAGGAGCTATGTGCGAAGAAAAAGTAACTAAAGTTTGTTGCCAGTTTTCTCAAAATTAACAAATTGTATCATATCCCCTTCATCCAGTCATGTCTTCAATTAAATGGACCAACAGTACGCCAATAATCTCTATATATTTTGTCTCCAGAACTATTTAACCAATCATCTCGGCCGGCCGCGTCATCTGTCGCTGTCACTGTCAATTGGACGGCCAATTTCATTGTCGGATTAAGCTTCTTACCACTCTCGGTGAGTATAACTAACTCACGACGTAAGGTCACCGGCCTTGAGACGTGAGGTCGAAACCTCGTTGTATCGTGACGCCTTTCTAGTCGGAACTGATTATTGACAGATATAGGTAGAATAATAATTCAGAATCAAATCAGGTACATTTATTAGTATTTAATACTCAATTATAGACTTCGATAAAACAATAAGAACATTGTTAGTTAATTGAGCCATCCCCGAAAGGCTGGTAGATGTGAATTTTTATTTTTACTGGTAGCAGGACCTCTTGTGAGTCCGCACGGGTAGGTACCACTGCTCTGCCTATTCTTGTCGTGAAACAGTAATGCGTTTCGGTTTGAAGGACGGGGCAGCCGTTGTAACTATACTGATACCTTAGAACTTATATCTCAAGGTGGATGGCGGCGTTTATGTAGATGTCTATGAGCTCCAGTAACCACTTACAACCAGGTGGGCGGTGAGCTCGTCTACCCATCTAAGCAAAAAAAAAAGTTAAACATTTATATAATTTTGTACAAGTATAAATTCATAGCTTACGACAGAAAATCATGTCATGTAATGAAAATTACAATTAAAATTATTTTGTACTGTTAAAACTTAGACCTTACAATTCATGTCTCGAGGTTGGTGGAGCATTTACGTTATAGATGTCTATGGGCTCCAGTAACCACTTAACACCAGGTGGGCGGTGAGCTCGTCCAACCATCTAATAAAAAAAACACTGATTACAGCCGATCGTAAGTATAATTCAGTATGATTTCTCTTTCAGCTCGCCCTGGGGAACAATGTTTTCGTGATATTCGCGGTCCTACAATTCCTGTTCATAATTTTTATTTACACTAAAGTACCTGAGACGAAAAATAAGACTGTTGACGAGATAACCGCCATGTTTAGGCAGCGGATGTAGGAGGGGTTAGGGGGGGCAGCGGAGTGGGTTCCCCATCAAGGGATCAAGCATCAGGCCGATATCTTCGACGGCTTGTTAGCGAAATTAAAACATCACTGGCGCCATCTAGTGTTGAGGGTGGTAATAACAGGCGGCCACGAGACCACCAGTCAATTGACCCTGAAATATCTATATGTTGGAGAAAGCAAATTATTAACACCATCGCCAGATATGGTAGGGGCGAATAGGGTGATCGAGCTAAGAGAAATATTGAGTACACTAATCACGTTTGTTGTCTTAGAACAATTTAGAAATCTTCTCTTGACGTTAGCAAACGAAATCGAATGACAGTTCTTAGGAAGGAGGCGCCGCACTTGAGGAGGTTGGTTGGTAAGTGTGATGGCGTCTACGCGCCTCCATCGGCTAGGCTCTGTCGCAGCACGAAGTTAGCAGAGTTCCGACGATACCGCGATCGTGCTGCCATCTCTCGAGAATCGTGCTGCGTTTCGTTTAGATACTAAGCTAATGACCGTCGCCGACATTTATATGATGCGATATGGGAATCGAATCCACGACCCTCCACGCGGCAGTCAGAACGCCAACTCATGTGCTACTGAGTCCGTAGATGATGCATACTTTGAGATATCAACTCGACTAATCTAAGCGCGACAGTCAATTTTATTGTCTTAAAAACTATTTATGACGTGAATTTTAATACTCGCAAGGTGTAGTGAATAAGAAATGTAATACTTAATTATTTATAATAATATGCATTCATTATGGTTATGTTAAGTGCGAGTTTCTTAACGTTCTCGATAGCGTAAAAGTTAACTCAAATTTATATAGAGTTGGAATGTTTGCCTACGTTTGCCGCTAGGGGCGCTGCTCAAACTGCATACAAATTTCAGTTAACTTTTACGTTATCGAGAACGTTAAAAAACTCACACTAAGCACACTGATTTATACAGTTGAGGTTTCGACCTCATGACTCAAGATGGGTGGCGGAAAAAAAACTAAGCCTTCATTGATCCATTGCAAGATGCCACAATAATATTAATGTGGTCTGTATTTTTCGACGGAATATTTTAATGGCTAGACTCGGCAGCTATATATTATGGAGGGTGGAAGTAAGAAGCACGATCTTGTATAGGACAAGTTGAACAAGTGTCGACTTGTAATTATTTGTAACAACTTTCCGGGCATTTCAATATTGCAATAATTGTGACGTTATAATACTCGTAAAAATGAATATTTAAAAAAAATCTGATATTTAAAAAAAAAGTTATGCCCGCTGAATTTCTTGCCAGTTCTTCTCAAGACGGAGGCTAGTTTTTGTGAATTGGCGGTAGTTCTTTTGACGTTCAACAAACATGTACTTTCATTTAAGTGAATAAAAAAATTTTGGTTTGAATTTTTTTTGATTTGATTTGAAGAGTATTCAACTGTAGGCAGCGGCTTGGCTCTGCCTCTGGCATTACTGAAGTTCATGGGCGACGGTAACCATTCACCATCAGGTGAGCCGTACGCTCGTCTGCCAACTAGGGCAATAAAAATAAATAAGAATTTACAACCCTTTGAGCGCGAACTGTTGATAGATTGACTCGACTCTTTTTTATTGCTTAGATGTGTGATGAGCTCACGGCTCACCTGGTGTCAAAGTGGTTACTGGAGCCCATAGACATCTACAACGTAAATGCGCCACCCACCTTGAGATATAAGTTCTAAGGTCTCAGTATAGTTACAACAGCTGCCGCACCCTTCAAACCGAAACGCATTACTGCTTCACGGCAGAAACAGGCGGGGTGGTGGTACCTACCCACGCGGACTCACAAGAGGTCGTACCACCAGTAAATTTGCTCCAGTAACCACTTAACACCGGGTGGGCTGTGAGCTGGACCACTCATCAAAGCAATAAAAAAAAAAATTACGTGCTTAATTTTTCTCTTGACCCTTTTAGTTAGAAACACTAAACAGACAAATAAAACAAATTACACAACATCACTCCTCGCGTTCCCGCCAAAAAGTCCTGCAGAAGCTGCTAAAAGATTTTTGAAAAGTACCTTCTATAAACTTATAAAAATACAAAAATCAATGCTAAATGTTATTAGCTTACGCTAAGACACGTCCGTACAGGTCAATAAGTACCTAATTTCTGTAATCAAATTACTCAATAGTCGGTCGCAATTCCGACGCTTTGCACTTTATACGCATCAATAGACTGGTGGTTACGACCTCTTGTGAGTCCGTGCGGGTTGGTACCACCACCCTGCCTATTTCTGCCGTGAAGCAGTAATGCGTTTCGGTTTGAAGGGTGGGGTAGCCGTTGTAACTATACGTGAGACCTTAGAACTTATATTTCAAGGTGGGTGGCGCATTTGCACGTAATATGCACGAAATAAAACCACTGCATTAGTTGGATTCGTTTATTATAGCGTCCGAAGGAACTCCTGCACGACCGGCACGTACTGTTTGCGGGTCGCCGACAAGCGCAGCTGTCCACGGACCGCACCGTCACGCGGGCGCAGCTCGAACGACGGCGACGACCATTCAACGAGAAACGAATCGAGCTGAAATTGAACATGTCAACAATCTACCCTCAGATTTTTGAAGTGAAACTTCTTTAGGCGCGCATGAGGGTAAAATGTTTACAGATGTAACGTCACGCAGGTATGCAATGGAAGTATCGAAAAAGAGAGAGAACGATCGAGACCGATAGAGAGAGAGAGTAAGACAGGGCGAACGTAGCATGAAGCAACTAGCCATGGAGTGAGAGTAGGAAGCAAGCAAGTGAGAAAGATCGAGAAAAAAAGTGACAGAATGCTCAGTTCCTACATACTTTAAAACATACGTTAAAGTATTTTATTTTTAATACAGCGCCATCTGTGAGATGTTTTAATACTAACGTGTGTATTCTAACTTCTTGTAGTTAATTTTAATTTAGGATATACGTGAAGTTAAAATATCAATTCACAGAGGGCGCTACCTCATACTATAAAAGGTGATTTACAGTTATTTACTAATTTGATTTGATTTGATTTGAATGACAAAATTTTACTAATAATATACTTAGACATTTAGGATAATTGTATTTTAATTTTTGAAGGTTTCACTTCTAACACGTGTGAATTGCACACATGTTATTTTTTTTGGTAAGGAGGCGTTAATTAATAACGTGAGACCTTCTCAGCGGGTCGCGTTACCGATCCAGTGCTAGATTCTGTCAGTTGACAGTCATTCTGTCATTCTGACAGTCAAAAATAATGACACAATAACTGTCCCAAGTTTTCTATCTAGAATTAAGACTATTTGTTAAGCTATGAATCTAAAATTTTCAAAATTTGCAGACTTTGATAGGCCCTCCTTTAAAAAAAAGTGTACCAAAGTGCCTTGGCAAGCGCCATTAAAAGTTCGCGCATTTAATCAGGATTCTAAAAGGGTGGCTTGTGTGAGTAAAAAACATTTGAACTGAGTAAAATGGATTAGCAAAAATACTTGGTACTCGAGGTTTTTATTTTTTTTGCTAGTTTTTTTTTTAATATGAAACTAACAAGTATCGTACCATTTTTCCGCTTTTTCTCATGATGGTTACAATCAATCCTGTGACCCCGTTTCGGCTTGACGTTGAGTTGTGGAACACCCTGTACAAAACCTCTCTGTCCTCCATGACCACAAAACTATCGGAAAGATTTATAGTTTAATTGTATTACCTTTTCGGCTAGATCCTCATTGTTTGGGGACATCACCGCCATGTCTCTCTTCATTCCACTTGTCAGATCCATTCCTAGCAGCAAAGCTACTGAACACTCGCGCTGGCTCAAGACTTCCCTTACAGCGTCAACAGCATCATCCAGCCGTAGGAACTCCTGGAAACGTGCAGTCTTCTGCAGTTCAACCGTGCCCCCCCTTCATCATTATGGACGTGAGACGGTCCGCTTAATACATGAGGAGCCGTGAGCGCGTCCACTTATCTGAATTCCAGCACTCACCTCCACTAACATCGGGAAGCTGGGTATTAATACGTCTTCGACGATTTTCACGTCTTTCCTGAGCAATTGTGACGCCGTTAATTTCGATACGTCACTTTTGGCCTTTGTCAGCTCATCCAATACCCGTTGCCTTAAAATAAATAAATAAAAACCTAAACCTTTTGACACAGATAAAGCAACAGTAACGTCAATGTCAAAGTTTTTTTTTTTTATTAACCTTTCGTCAATGGGATTTTCAATCATCAAAACTCGCTCCAGCAAGTCAATCATTTCCTCGTCCTCTGGTGTTCCCTTATTGAATTCTTTCGAGAAATTCACCGTGTCTAGGATGATTGTTGCTGATGGAGAAATAAAAAAATATATATTATTTTTCATAATTGAAGACATGAGTGGATGAAGGGATTAAGTACCATTTTTATGATTTATTATGAGTTCTTACATTAAATGAAGGTGTTATGTGCCTATAAACCATATTAGACCTTAAAACACCGGGTTTAAAGGCTATTTTTAGAAATTGCCTATGACAAAGGATTTATGTACCAAGAAATTGTCCGTTTTCTCAAAATTAAAAAATTGTGTCATGTCCCCTTCATCCACTCATGTCTTCAATTATATAAGAGGAAAGTGTATCAGCAATTCCGTAAGGAGGTCAGTGTGCTTAGTGCAAGTTTTCTAACGTTCTCGATAGCGTGAAAGTTAGCCCAATTTTGTGTGCAGTTGGAGCAGCGCCCCTAGCGGCAAACGTACGCAAACGATCCCATTCCATACAAATATGAGTTAACTTTTACTCTATCGAGAACGTTAAAAAACTCGCACTAAGCACACAGAGCCGCTTTGTGTATTCTCAGAGAGTGAGCCAAAGTTTTGGTTTTGTCCACCTATTCTGGTAGCTTCAAGAGGCTATTTCAGCTTCTCCTTGACGTGTAGGTGAGCTCACGAGGCTCAAGCCGGAGTGTTGCTAACACTGGCCCTAGCAAGAACAGTGCTTTGCAGAATCTACCACCGGATCGGAAACGCGACCCACTGAGAAGACCCGGCGAGAAACTCAGTGGGCTGTGTCTATAGATTAATTCGGTCGTCGAGCCCTTCGTCGCAATCAACGGCTTCGACAAAGGCGATGACCGATGCTTGTGGTACCTAAAAGCACCGTTAATGGATTGGGAGGATCTGTAATGAGAATCAGTCATATATACTCACAATACAGCGTTTGACTA